AGTTCATAGTTTCTTGCTTCCTCGCTTAGTACAATGCAAGATGGGGAGGTTGCAACAACGGGTCTCTTCCTCTCGTTTAGTGTGAGCAATCATCTTTGTGGCTTTTTGCTCCTTCCAAATGTGTTTGCAAGTTTTTTTAAAGATCAAGTGGTTCAAGAGATTTAGAACCTTGACTTCTCAAATGCATGCAAACACAAAGGAATATCTACACACACAAAAATAAACCCTTCCAAGATCAAGTGAGGTTGTGAAGAGTAAAATAAATTCAGGATTTATGAGTGATTTTTTTCTCTTTGGACTTTATTAACAAGACCGTTTCCCCGACAACGACGCCAAAAACTTGATCGGGCTAAACTTGCAAGTGTACAAGTGCCGATATAGTAATAAATTCCGGTAAATTACCGGGTCGAAGACACAGGGAAACGTTGTTTAATTTAGTCCGAGATTAAATGACTTTAAATAAATGAGTAAAGTGTAGGGATTTTGATTTGTGTTTTATATTTTTGGTTTTTCACTTTTTGTTCTAGAAGATAATCGTTAACTAATTTTGAGCTTAAGATGAATGATAACAACAACTAAGGCTTCAGGAATCACTTAAATGCTTTAATAGGGTTGAATATTAGTTCTTTGCCAATAATTATGAATACAATGTCGCTAATATATTCTCAACTCCAGTTAAGGCAGCGAGAACGTGGTTTTCGTTACGTGTAAGTCCCGTCATGGCTTACATTCATCCACCGAAAACCCCGTTGAATATCAAGACATTACACCCGTATCATATAAGACCGAATATAATTCTATTCTCGATACTATATATGTTTATCCTTTAATGTTCATAATTTAGACTTCAACGTTAATTGCAAGTATAAACTAAATTTTACATATTTCTATGTTGTACACCATAGTCATAAACAATCAAAGTATAAATGATAAATCATAATTTATTGGTTTAGAACTTTTATCAAACACCTAGTGGGCATAGAAGTTCATCCCTAGCCTTAGCTAAGAATTTAGCTACTAATGCTCATATTAATTACAAAAGTGTAACTAAGAATAAGGAAATACAGTAACATACAAGAAAAATTACCTAGAACCAATTGTAGAGGAGAGAAATGGCTTCTTCTCCAACTCTTCAAGATAATACAAAAGTAAAATATAAAAACTCAAATTTAAGCAAAATATTGTTGCACGTCTCCATGTTTTGTGCAGAATCGGACCTAACCGGCGCTGGGAAAATACGGAAAAATACCATAACCGGATCCGGTTATAGAGGTGGACCGGTGCCGGGTTGCTCTCGGCGAATCCGGAAAATAGCAAATTAAATCAAACCGGCGCCGGTTTGGTGAAACTCCGGCGCCGGTTTTGTCCTGGGATTTTGGGGATATTCCGCTACGGATTTGGACATGATTCCTTCAACAAAGTTGTAGATATTAGATAATGAAGTCTTCTATCCACCAAAACTTGAATGCCATGTTTTTAGTCATCCAATCAAAAGATAAGGATAAAACATTGAGAGGTATGCATCGTGAAATCCCACTAGAAACATCTGACTTTATTGGTTGATTGAGTCTTGATCCTTTCATATTATGGCCATGACGTCTTCATAACATTTGTACCTTATTGAGTTAACATTCACATTAAATTCGAATCGAGTGATTTTGAGTTCTGTACAATAAGTTATACCCGAATTATGTGGAGAACGTCATCCTCTTGGTCCAAAAAGCTCTTCATCACAATGTTATGCTCTAGCTCTCATTCTGAAGGTATTTGCCCAATTTCTCTTCCTTTCTTCAAAAAATACTTATAAATACTTATGTTAAACACAAGTAAATATAACGGCTATCAGGCAACAAACATTAGAGACCAAGGGTTTCAGACTGAGCCAAAGTAAGACTGAGTATATGGAGTGCAAGTTTGGTGGAGGTAGAAGTAGTAGCAACAGTGGGATTATTCTTGATGGTAAGGAGATACCGGTGTGTGATATGTTCCATTACTTGGGCTCCATAATTCAGACGGATGGTGAATTAGATGGAGATGTATGTCATAGAATGAGAGCTGTGTGGATGAAATGGAAGAGTGCTTCAGGATTTCTATACGATCGAGGTATGCCGACTAGACTGAAAGGTAAATTTTATCGAACAACAATTAGGTCTGCATTAATGTATGGCGTAGAGTGTTGCGCGGTGAATCAATGCCACATTCAAAAGATGAGTGTCGCAGAGATGCATATGTTGCATTGGATGTGTGGGCATACCAGAAAAGTCCGCTTGAGGAATGAGATAATCAGGCAAAAGGTGGGAGTAGCACCTATAAAAGATAAGATGTAGGAGTCTCGTTTGCGGTGGTTTGGTCATGTGCATAGAAGACCGAGTGATGCACCTGTTAGACGACTTGAGGGGTGGGAAGAAGAGACAGAGAAGAGAGGGAGGGGAAGACCCAAACAAACTTGGATTAGAGGAATCAGAACTGATATGCGTCTTCTTGGGTTGGATGAGAGTATGGTTTTGGAGAGAGAAAAGTGGAGGGCGCACATCTGTGTGAACGATTGATGTCTTTTTTCTTTTTACTTTTATCATTTATCTTCTTTATCTTTTTATATTCTTATGTTATTTTTATCTTCTAGCTTTTTTATGCTCTTCCTTTTAATCTTTTATCTTTCTTATATTCCTGTGTTATTATTATCTTATATATATATATATATCTTTATTTTATTGTTTTTTTGTTCTTCCCTTTCTTGTCCATCTTCTCTGTTTGTCATCGATATCATAGATCGATTCATGTTAGCCGACCCCAAATTCTTTTGGGATTAAGGCTTGGATGTTGTATAATTTTTCAAGAATTCAGCAAAATCGGTCATTTCAGCCAGCATTTCATTGATTTTAAGAGATTTTGTCATTTAGTCAATTTTGTCCAAATCGGAAGTGGACTCCACTCAAAATATTGTCCCAAATTGATCATTTAATGCAATTTTTAACACATTTTTTCAACAATCCCACACATGAATGAAAATTGATTTTTGAGACTGAAAAAGACACGAAATAGGAAGACACGTTGTGTTCACCGGATGATCCCTGCATACGGAGAGGTAGGTTTTATCCTTTGAACCTTCCGCTGTAAAGACATGTTTATTGACTGGTTGTCTAGTAGACTCGATGTCCTTGAACTATACTGCCGTCGTGTAAACATTGTCCTATCTTTACACAGGAACCTTCCAACTTTGTTCCGTTCTCATGGGTGTGCACGTTTTGGGCCAAGAAATTTGAAGGCCTCTACATCGTCACTGCTGTAGTCCGGCCCGGAACTTACAAACTGAGCACTCCAGCACTAGGTTACTGGTAATACCTCACCAGGTGGTGGACATTCCATAACCTTGGAACTTCCGTGCCTTTTGGAGTGCTCAGTTTGTAAGTTCTGGGCCGGACTACAGCAGTGACGATTCGATCAATAGATTTTGTCATTTAGACAATTTTAGTACTCCCTTCGTCCCATGAAATTCTTCCTGGTTTAACTTGGATCGGAGTTTAAGAAAGTTAAATAAAATGAAAATGGATGATTATGGTTGAATAAAAAAAGTAAATGCATGTTCCTCACACAAAACTTTACAAAAAGAGAAATGAGAATTTTTTTTTGAATGCCCAAAAACGACAAATGGGAAGAATTTTATAGAAATGGGGGAGTACTACCACACCTCTATCCTCATCATTTCTAGTACTCCCCCCGTCCCGTTGAAGGTTCCTGTAGGTAAATGATTAAAAAGATTTTTTAGGCAAGTGGTTAAATAAAATAATTTGAGTAAAAAAGAGAGAAAAGAGAAAATTTAGAAAAAACAAACATATAAAGTTAAAGTAATTAAAGCGAGATAAGTTGGGGGAGTGGACATTGTGAGATTACATATAATAAATAAGAAAGAGAAATTTGAATAAAAATGTAATTAAAAAGACTAAATAATTTCTAGGGAATATGTGCGAATAAGCCTTTGTACTAACCGAAAAAGTGCAAATCACCCCTTTAATAGGAGGCTCTGTCCGTCCATTGCCATTTTGAGCAGTTCTCGGTGGAATTTTTTGATGATTTTTTTGATCATCTTCTTAATTAAGTCTAGTTTACCCATACCAAATTTCAGCTACAAATTCAACCGGGAAGGTAGCCAAATGATTTTCGAAAATATACTGCGCTGTTTAACTGCGCAGTTATCTTCAAACATTTATTTGACTGTATTACCGATTGCATTTTTAGCTGAAATTTGATATGGATAAACTAGACTTAATGAAGAATGTGCTAAAAAAATCATCAAAAATTCCACCGGGGACCTTCCCAAATGACGACAGCCAAATAGAGCCTCCTATAAAAAGGGTGATTTGCATTTTTTTAGTTAGTTCAAGGGCTTATTTGTTCCTTTTCTCAATTTTCTAAATTAGATTGATGAGACACCCAAAATGAGAAATTTCCAACCAGACCTTTGGAGTCATTACCAAACTTCTGTCCTCATCATTTTAGTGCATGTCCCTTCCTAAGTCTCTCAACTTTGCTTGGTGTACACCAAATGTGTACACCTTTTGTATACACATGTCTGTCCCCGGCAGACAAGTTGTCTGTCCAAAAACATTACTGTATTACCGATTGCATTTTTAGCTGAAATTTGGTATGGATAAACTAGACTTAATGAAGAATGTGCTAAAAAAATCATCAAAAAATTCCACCGGGGATCTTCCCAAATGACGACGGCCAAATAGACTTAATGACAATTTGTATGTGGACAGACAACTTGTCTGTCGGGGAGTAATTACAGAGTATTTTTAAATTATTTTATTTAACCACTTGTCTAAAAAGTCTTTTTAATCATTTCTCATTAATGCGCAGTTAAACAGTTATACAGAGTTGTCTGTGAACAGACAACTTATCTGACGGGGACAAACATGTGTACACAAAAGGTGTGCACTTTTGATGTACACCAAGCATTTTTCTAAGTCTCTAGCTTCAATTGGTTGCATGTGTTTCATGTAATTTTCATTTCTATTAGATCCTTAAAATAGTTAAGTTTGAAAAGCTCGGGTAAAATCAAACCACTAATTATTGCGTACATAGCTTCTCAGATGAATGTTGAAGCAGCCAGATCGGGTTGAATTTGATTGGAACGGTGCTTGATTTCAACTAGGGTATATGATGGTTCTCCCATTAGATCTTCAGGACTTCCTTCTTCGAGCTCGAGTGCTCCAGTTATACAGAAACGCTCTAAGGACTGCAAGAAGAGCTCCTATTGATGCTAGAGGTGAATCTTTTAAACACAACTCATTGTTGTTGCTGGACTTAAACTTCAAGTGTTCTGTACTTCAGTTAGGCTGGCTGCCTGGCATCTCTATTCCTGTATAATTTCATGATATGCAGTATAAAGACATGAATGCTTAGGTCTTGAAATCCAGCCTTTGACCCGCCTTATATTTCCTGGTCTTATTTTTCCATTTGTTCAAACTATGATACATCTTTGGGACTGTTCCAGTTTCATCGACTTAAAGAGAACAGAAGTTTAATACAGGACGGTTCCAACACCTCACATTTAGGTTTCGTCTTGAATTCAACATAGACAAGTAATTCATCTTGTGATTGAAAAACACCACATCTAAATGTAATATCCCAAGCTAAACAATCGGGTGGCTGTTGCAGTTGATGGCAATCCGTCAAAGTTGAGGCACTGAAGGTAAGTTAACGTTGTGTCTGTAAGAAACAAATACTCCGTATAAGAATGGTTTGGTAGTTTTTCCTGGAGTTGATGAATAAAGAGGAGGGCTATTGGTGGCTATACTATTAAGCTTATATGTTAGCTGTCAGGGACCTAGGTAGTATGGGATACCAAAAGTCCCACACCGAGTAGAATGGGATGCTTGGTGGGGTTCTTAAGTGCCTGGTTTTCCCACCTTAACAGTTAGCTTTTGGGGTATGACTCTCCAAGATGTTTTAGTTCCTAACCCTGGTTTCTTTAAGTAATTGCCGTTAGTAGAAGTAAAACATATTCCTTTTCCCTAAATAGGATTAAGACATACTCCTTTTCTCTAAATAGGAGTCCAAAGCCTATAGAGTCCAAAGCCTATAGAGGTATTCTTGCCCAACCTTGAAAAAATACTCATATTTGGGGAAATTTAAAAACCTACTCATATTTTTGCGATCATCAAATTTAGCTTATATATGTTTTTAGTCCCCAGTTCCCCACAAATATAATGCATTTGGTTTTGCATGCTTTCAAATTTTTGTATTTATTTTTCATCCCTATAATTTACATTTCTTTTCTTTTTAGTTCATCACCGATTGTAATAACCTCTGTTTGACAACAAAATAACTCTGATTGATAGGTTCTCTCGCATTCTTTGTCATGTCGTTCAAATAATATGTAATTGGAAAATCTATCAAGTCGGCCCTTGAAGTATACCAAAAAAATCAATTAAACCCTTGAACTAAAAAGACATCCAATTAAACTCGTGAACTATATAAATAGTAAATGTACTTTCTCCGTCCCTTATAACTTTGTCATCTTTCTTTTTTTTTGTTCCAAAAACTTTGTCACTTTTCATTTTAATCAATTAATTTGTGGTTCTAATTATTTCTCTCTCATCTGCACAAACCTCAACCACACAGGTTTTTACTTTATTACTCTCCGTTCCGATGAAATTTAATAAAGTTTTGTGGGACGGAGGGAGTATATTTAGCGGGTTGATTCCCGGTTAACCAGTCATTTGACAATTGACACATGTGGTTGCACTATTCTTTTTCTTTTAATTTCTTCTTTTTCCATTCTTTCTCCACCCTCCCCTTGCTTCTTCTATTTTCTCTTCAGCCCTCCCCGCCCTCCCCTTGCTTCTTCTTCTTCTTCAGCCCGGCCCACCCTCCCACTTTCTTCTGCTTCAGCCCCCCCCCCCCCCCCCCCCACCCTCCCCCTTCCTTGATAGGTCTCAGAAGAATTCCAGTAGATAATCATGGTTATTAATGAGAGTTAACAGAAGGAATACAGAAAATAATGTAAGAAAATATTGAGACTCTTCGAGTGGCCTCACACTCCCAATTTCCCAGTCCCTATCCCAAATTCTGCCTCCCCTTTATTCTACTCCCACTCTTATTTATAATATTTTCCTTATGGGCCAGCCAATGCTAACTAATACCAGACCCAGGACCCTCTAATACACTATCACAATTAATTATTATTCTCCTTAGCCCATGATCCTAACATATCCCCCCCTTGGACAACCACCTTGTCCTCAAGGTGGGTGATATGAAACAGCCTTGATCTTCAGGTTCACCTTCATCCTTGCACCTCTTTTTTCCCAGTACCTTGCTGTTGTCTTATCAACTTTCAGACATTTTTCATCATCTTTTCTATTTCTTGGACCCTCGTACTTTGATCTGTTTCTTTCCATATCAACCTCTTCCCGGAGCTTGGTCAGTGCCACTGAGTCCAGCGTCAGAGTTGACACTTCTTCAGTAGGTGAAACTTTTGAGATACATTGATCAAAGTCCACCAGCAAATAACAATATCCCCTCACCTGGTATGTATTCTCTTCACCCCAACTTTCTGCTAGTTTTTCCACAACTTTGATTACCTTAACTGGTGCTTGTTTCATAATGTTATGCTTCATCATGGAAACCCCTTGATCTTCTTTGGACACAAATGTAAAGGGAATACAAAGTACAGTATTTAGGCTCTTAGGTTGATAAGCACAAATATATGTTCTTTCTCCTGTTTGCTTAATCCAAACAGTTGGGGCAGCAAACACTGAGGTGCAACCAACTTCTGCTTCCTAAAGGTCAGTTACAAGGAACCCATCTTTCCCTTTCAACCACTTGTCACTCTGTAAGAGCCTCACAACAGCATCCAAGTAAGGAGAACTATTGTATGGTGAGGCTGTCTGCTGATCAGGTATAGAAATAGAGCTTCCCAACCAATAATCTCCTGAGTTATTAGATGTAGCATTTCCTTTACGTAAACAAAACCCAGAACTTAGGCCAGAAAACAAAGTATTTGGAGTTAACCTTAAGACAGCACAGGTAACAATCTTCATTAAGTCATCATTAGAAAGTGTTGTGGACACCAGCAGGTCCTGGTACATGATTAACGAATAGCAGTTCGTGTTCTCAAAACAAGGTTCCAACACCATGTCTAGAGACTGAACTTCAAGAGCAGAACCGCCCGGCTCCTTAAGTAGTTTCTGTTTCTGACTCCCAACTTCCTGTTCAGTCTTACCCGAGAAGTCCCAGAATTTCTTTATGACAATAAGATGCCCCACTAATTCCCTCTTTGGTGCAACAGAATAGCTTGAGTTTAATGTAGAGCCCGGGTCTAATCCAAACTCAGACCCGGGAACAAAATCTTGCACGCCATTGTAGAAACGAACAACGCAACCGTGCTTTTCAATCTTTGTTATCTATCTCTGTTTGATTAGTCCCTTAGTAACAACAGTGTGTGAACTGGTGATTCCCTGAAGCTCCTTTCCATAATTGGGTAGGGTTTGCATGAATGAAACAGGACCATCATGCTTGGGAACTAGGCTATGAACACCATCAGGTTCTTCCCCATTCCAAACCTGGAAATTATACAAACAGCCTAAAATCAAAAATTGGTTGTTTGTACCTCCCTCGGCATTCCTGGTAGGTGTCCTTCCTTTCAATTCTTCCACCCAAGGCTGAGGTTTGTTCATACATTCCCCTTTTTCCTTCCACCCCCTCTTGTCTTCATCTCGGTACTTTCCTCTCTTTATCAAAGAGCCAATAGCTCATGTAGGACCCAGCGGAACTTCAGCCGCCACATACTCCTCATTTTCTCCAGCTTTGCTAAAGCCATCTATACGGACAGTCCCTGTAGATGAACGTACCACAGAAGATTTCTCCTCTCTTCCTTCATCGTCATAGATGATGAACGTACCTTCAGATAGAGTTTGCCGTGGATTGCCCGACTCCTGAGACTCAGACCGCAACAGCGAACTGGAGGCTTCTCCTTCCTGTCGCATCGTACCTTGAAGTAAGCTGCTACCGTATGATGAAGTCTGTGAACTGATGGTGTCTCCTCTGTCTAGAGTGGTACTAGGGTTCACATAGGGATTTCGCAGCGATTTGGAGTCTCCTTCTGATAGCGTCACACTTTGACGTGAGATGATAACCGATGAAGAGACCTGCGAACAAGGGAGATCTATTTGCGACGAAACTTGTTGACTGGGAGATACTGGTTGCGACGAAGCTGAAGGGGCTTGCGAAGACATCTGCGAACCGGTAGAATCAGCTAGCGACTGCGAACTGGGAGTAATGACGAACGACGATGCTGAGCTGATTCTGGAATTCCGGCAGCGTCTAACCGTTCTCGATCGTCCTCGCCGGCGACGTTGACGTAGACGATTTATCATCTCGTCCAGAATCGTTTCCAACTTTGTGAACTGGCTTTGGACTCTTCCATTGCTATTCTCTATCTGCACACAAGTAAAAGTCCTCTACTCCAACGATCTTTAATGCTCTGATACCAATGATAGGTCTCAGAAGAATTCCGGTAGATAATCTTAGTTATTAATGAGAGTTAACAGAAGGAATACAGAAAATAACGTAAGAAAATATCGAGACTCTTCGAGTGGCCTCACACTCCCAATTTCCCATTCCCTATCCCAAATTCTGCCTCCCCTTTATTCTACTCCCACTCTTATTTATAATCTTTTCCTTATGGGCCAGCCAATGCTAACTAATATCAGGCCCAGGACCCTCTAATACACTATCACAATTAATTATTATTCTCCTTAGCCCATGATCCTAACATTCCTTCTTCTTCTTCAGCTCGCCCCACCCCCCTTCCTTCTTCTTCAGCCCGCCTCACCCCTCCCCTTCTTTCTTTTCAGCCCGCCATCAGAGAGTAACTAGGGGAACAAGGAGCATCCCTTGAAATCCCTGGCAGCGAGCTCGCGAAGGCGACCAAGGAACCCGGTAATGCAAAATCGGCGGTGATATCTTCTTCCGGCATTTGGAAATGGTGGCAGAGACCTATATGAGCTTGTGAAATTGACCGATGATGCCATCTTACTGTGTCTGAAATCAGCGGAGGGAAGGATGTGGGGTGGTAGTAGATGAAGAAAGAAGCTGGGTGGTCCTGCTTGACTGGAAGAAGAAAGGAGCAGGAAAAAGAAAAGGAAAAAAGAAAAAAAGGGAAAAACATTAAAATAAGCCAACATGGATTGCCATGTAAGCAAATGGCCGGCTAACCGGCAATCAACCTACTAAATTTTACACGAAGGCTTAACTGATTTTGTAGGTATTCTTCAAGCCGATTTGACAGTTTTCCCTATGTAATTTTAGTTTATAGAAGCCCGTAAAAACCTATTTTCAAAGCGTGAATGACTAGTTTTACATTGTTTTAACTCTCATATTAGTCTAAAAATTATTACAATGATAAATTTAAAAGTTTCTAATAGATTTTTGCAACATGCACTAATTATTTTCTTAATGGAGTGGTCTTGGCTTTAGAGATAAATTAAAAAGACAACAGTGCATATTATAGAAATGGAAAAAAATTGCAGAGATCCAAAAACAATGTGTCATGTTTTCAAGGACTAAAAGTGTATTTAAGCCTCAATTTTATTATGAATTTGCATTTTCTCCCTTAATAATGGAACAGAGCATGTCAAAGAGTCTATTCTTTAGATGGGCTCTCCAAAGTGTAGTTTTGGGCACTTCTAAAGTTCCTTCCCTACTACATCTTACCTAGCCGACCAATTTAACTTCATTGCACATAGTATCTTAATATGAATGTTTATCGAAAAGCCGAACACACGCTAAGAGTGGGTCCAGTCCCATGTTCGGAAGGGATCTGCTCATTCACCTTCTAGGAAAATAGGCTGCAGTCTGCTGCCCGTAGACCCCCTGCAGCATTTTTAAGAACAATGGCTCTGCCAACTCTAGAGTGGTAATTTATTTGGTTATGCCAGCTTCAAGAGTGATTCAAGAAGCCATTTCAGTCATCATCATTACCCCAGTGCTGCAAAGGCTTCCACCTACGGTGGGGTAAGGGGGTCGTATGCAGCCTTACACTTTTACTAAAGCACATAGAGACTTTTTCTGTATGACCGATGGTGAAAATCACATCGAAAATTGCATGGACTGATTGTTGCTTCATAATTAAGAAGCGCAGACAGTTTAATGAGTCATTTTGTTTTTTCCATCATATTCCCAAGCCAGTCATTTCGGTATGGACTCTATTTTCTTTCCTTTTTCTTTTTTAAATGTCAGCAATAATAATAATATATGAATATCAACTATATAGTGAGAGCTTTTGGGATTTTTTGTTGACACCTGCCAGCAGATGTTTGATCCATTCAATGTGTTACTTGGCTCTACTAGATAATACTACCTCCGTCCCAATGAATTCTCCCAAGTCAAACTTGGCTCGCAAATTTAGAAAGTGGGAATAAAGTGGAAATGTATGGTTATAGTTGTGTAAAAAAAAGGTGAATGAATGTGAACCGCATATTTTTTCCAAAAGTGAAAGTTGGAAGAATTATTTGGGACGGCCCAAAAAGGAAAGTTGGAAGAATTCAATGGGACGGATGGAGTAAAAATTACTCCCTTCATCCCTTGTTGCCGTGAGAAGTGTTTTCCAACAATTATATGCTAGCAAGCCTTTCTTTGATTATTTTAGTTCCTACAACTAATTGGATGTCACAATCGGCCCATATAGTGAATAATTATATGTCATCATCATTACCTTAGTGCCAAAAAGGCTCTCACCTGCGGTGGGGTAGGGGGTCGGATGTATGTAGCCTTACCCCTGTTATAAAGTATATAGAGATTGTTTTCGAATGACCCAAATTGAAAATCGCGTCGAAAATTGCATGGACTAACTTTGCTTCATAACAAAGAAACACAGACAGTTTAGTGAGCCATTTTGCTTTATATGTAATGTAGAAAAAACCTTCATAGTTTTTATGTGCTCAAAGGTTGTCATTTTTGTGGTCACAGTTGAACTGAGTCACATGATAAGGAAGGAGATGGAGAACGGCAGGAGTTGCAATGATAAGCAAAGGATTCGTTTCATGATTAGTGAAGGATGGGAGAAGGTGAAGCGATTCGATGAGATGCTCGATATGCAAGGTCACTGATTGGCATTATTTCTACCCCATTCAAAGGTGCGATACATAAGGGATCACGTCTTTGAGATGGCTTTTTGTTATTATCCAAGTAATTTTGAACTAGTTGGTATATTTTTGGTTGGTATACAAAGGAGTTGCTTTCTGTTTCAGCTTGGATATACTTTCTGTATCAGCTTTGAGGATATATACTTTCATTCTTTCATTCTTTGCTCCGGTCCGTTGCTACAATGTTGGTAAAACCATTTCTACCATCTTAAGAAAAGTTTATGGGTTGTTGTACTAATTGCATGTTCATGCTTAGCTAAAAACTTTGGACTCTGAAAACTCTTCTTATAAAACACTTTCACTCTACAGTGTGGAACCAGGGGAAGTGAGCCGGTACCGGCACCATCCTTCGCTGGAAGAACCTAGGTGTGTGTGTGTGTATAGAGTACTCTTCTGGTCAGGAATTCCTGACCGGAACCGCCGTCGTGACGACGGTTTTTGGGGCTCTTCCCGGTGGAATTTTTTGATGAAATTTTTATGGCTTGTTCTTCATCAAATCTAGTTCATCCACAAAAAATTGCAGCTAAAAATTTAATCGGTAAGGCCGTCCAATGATTTTTGGAAGATAATTGCGCCAAATTATACATATAAAACGCAGTTAACTTCCAAAAATTATTTGATAGCCTCTCGATTGAATTTTCAGCTGAATCTTTTTATGAATAAACTAGACTTGATGAAGAACATGTCATAAAAATTTCATCAAAAAAGTTGACCGACAAGATACCTAAACGCCACCGTCTGGACGGCGGTTCATGTCCGGAATTCCGGACATAAATATTTCTCTCTCTCTCCCTCTCTTTAAAACTCGGTAGGTAAACCACCAAAATAAGTGGAGTAGAAGCTGAGGAACATCTACCAGATATTATAAATGATCATCAAAAGATACATGGGGGACCAAACCTTAACCCACAACAATATGAAAATACACACAAGAACTAGCCAAAAGAAAATCAATCAATATATGGCCTACATATCCAAAGTGATTGTACCCAAAAGGTTTTTGGACACTGTCATTCCCTGTCTCCATGTAAAGGCCTCCAAGAAGCCCATTTTTGCTACCACCCCTGCAGCATTATTGCTTGGGCCAAAATAAAGCAAATATTCCAATGGCCCAAATTCATTTGATCCATCTCCCTTCGAAGCAAATAAGAAACATCTAGCTCCACTTTAGGAAACCCGAAAGTCTCAGACCACCGCATTTCCTGGAGACAAACTTCCTCATCCCTCATCGATGAACCGCTCAACGGAAAGCCATCTGCCGCTATCATCGCACCGGAGTGATCCCTCAATAAGAAACCAGCTGCTGATTTCCCGTTTTATCTGAACACTGCCCAGTTCAGCTTAACATTGGGGTATGCCGGCTTCATCCATCTGGAGATCTGGGGTTTGTTTCGCCTGAAAAACTGAGGTAACAGACCGACTTCTTGTAATCTTTCAAAGCCCCCTAAATTTGTATTCGCATAACTCCAGGATAACATGAATTTGTAAATTTGTTCAATTATTTCTTCCCTGCCCGCTTGTTCATCCTTCCAAATTGATTTCCAGTAGATCTTCCAAATATGCCATGCAATTACTCCTGGCAAGATTAGAGTGTAGATATTGTCCATCGATTTGCCTTTCTTGCTAATCCACCATTTCATTAGCTGCAGTTTGATAGATTCTGTTTTCCTTCTCCCAGGTAACATCGTGTTTTCGTAAAAGCTCCATATAGACTCTGCCAGCGGACAAATCAACAAGATATGATCCTGAGATACTTGAGCCCTATTGCAAAAGGGACACATCGATGGGTAGATTACAACAAAGGAGGCTATCTGCTTAGGAAATGGAAGCCCTTTATGGCTTTATGCCAAAGTTTCTATAAAAACACCCTAACTTTGGGTACCTGTTTAGGGTGCCATATATCCGTAACTGATAGGACCCTCCCCCCTCTTGGCCAAAGTGCCTGATAGGCAGTTTTTGTTGTAAACTTACCATCTGCAGAGTGTTTCCATTTAACATAGTTAGGACCCCTGACCACCATAGCCTCAACCTCATCATTAATGAGGCAGATTCTTCTCCAGGTTGGAGAATCAGTAGGCTTGACTTCCCCAGAACACGATTCCCATACATACATATATTAGCTTGTTAGCTTGTTGTCTCCATATATATATATATTTGCATATATATATATATATATATATATATATGCATATATATATATATGCATATATATATATATATATATATATATATATATATATATATGCATATATCAATATGCATATATATGCATATATATGCATATGCATATATATGCATATATGCATATATATGCAGTTTTTGTTGTAAACTTACCATCTGCAGAGTGTTTCCGTTTAACATAGTTAGGACCCCTGACCACCATAGCCTCAACCTCATCATTAATGAGGCAGATTCTTCTCCAGGTTGGAGAATCAGTAGGCTTGACTTCCCCAGAACATGATTCCCATACATACATATATTAGCTTGTTAGCTTGCACAGAGGAATATCATATTGGATGAATTAAAGGAGAATTTGACAAGGGCCCAGAATCAGATGAGACAACAAGCTAATAAGCACATGAGGGAGGTTCAATTGGAAGTAGGAGAGAGGGTTTATTTGAAGATACAACCTTACAAGCTAAGGAGTTTAGCTAAAAGGATAAAGCTAAAGCTTGAGGCTAAAGCTTGCTATCTGTGCTTGTTGATCGAGCGATCATCTCAGAGGGAAGACTTGGTTCGTGCTTCCTCCATTCTGTTTTTAAACAATTTAAACATGCTCATGGATATTGTTTTTCATTATGGAGCCTGCGTGCTCGTGTTTGCCCCGTGTGGCACTTGTTTTCAAACTATGATTTCCGCTGCGTATTCAATTACTTGTTATGTATGTTTATGGATGACTAATGTGTGAATGATATTCGAGACGCCTTGTATAATATGGATGAGTTAGACTGCGGTTGACTATTCATATTGTACGGTGGATTGTTGACGTGTCCGGATAAGTCCGGGGCGTGACACCGAAGATCCCACTCACTCATCCAGTCAGCTCTATCATCGATTATGCCGAAGAGCACGACCTCATCGAGTGAGATCCTCGTTCAGCCAAGGAGATCTATGCCGTCCATCAGGGCGGCACCTACTGCCGTTATCACAGGAACACCTCCCACAACACGGACGACTGCGTCACTCTGAAGAGAGCCATCGTGGTGCGGGCTTTGACCCGGCCCGGGGGAGGGTAGCGGTTCGGGCACGGTTCAGAAAAATGAAGGCCCGGCCCGGCCGGTTCGGACCAACGGCTAGTTTTTTTTTTTAAAATTCTTTTGGCTATCCAAACAGGCCTTAGAGCCGTTGTGATTGAACCCAAATGGCTATATAGCTGTTGGGAGCCTTCCTGGGGTCCTGAAGTGGGTTAGGGTGGGGGTGGGGGTGGGGGGTGGGGGGTACAAAAAAACTATAAATACTCCATTTTTTCTATACAATTTACTACACATCTTCTCCAAATATTCCTACTCTCTAATATTGTTGGACTCGGGCCGGGCCAACCGGCCCGGAACCGGACCGGCCCGCTACTGTGCGGGCCCGGACCGGCCCAGTTCGTTGGTTAGGTCACGGTTCGGGCCACCCGGCCCTGTCATGTAGCGGTTCGGGCCCGGGCTTATAATTTGGTGAACCGGCCCGGCTGGGCCGGGCCCGGTCCGGGCCTCAACGGTCACAAAAAAATTTTTTTTTTTTTTTTAAAAATTTGAAGGCTCTACTAGCCGTTGGGAGACCTCCCAAACGGCTCTATAGCCGTTGGGAGCATAGGAGGGGGGGTCTGGGGGGTTAGGGGGGGTGGGGTGGGGTATACAAAAAAAAACCTATTTATACTCCTATTTTCTATACATTTTTTACACCTACAACTCTTTCTACTCTCTAAAATCTAAATTCTCTATTCTCTTAATCTCTCATATTCAATCATCTTCATTCTTCATCTTCTCCAAATTCTTTCTACATATATATAATTTATATAATTATTATATCTACTTATATATTATAATATTAATTATCTACTTATAAATATATACTTATACACATTCATATTATAATTCTTTACGCATTATATTATATACTATATATTGTTATACATATATATTATATATTACTTATAATATATTTACACATTATATATTTATATATACTATATATAGTTATACATTATATTATATATTACTTAGAATATAGTTATACATTATATTATATATTACTTATAATATATTTACACATTATATATTTATATATACTATATATAGTTATACATTTGATTTATATATACACTTCTCGTTTATCTATTTAATTACTTAATTGTTTCATTTTTCATATTAATATTAGTTAAAGTAGTTAAAGTTAATTGTTTCATTTGTCATATTAATATTAGTTAAACTACTTAATTGTTACATTTCTCATATTAGTTAATTGCTACATTTTTACATTTCTCATATTAGTTAATTGCTACATTTGTACATTTCTCATATTAGTTAATTAGTTAATTGCTACATTTTTACATTTCTCATATTAGTTAATTAGTTAATTGCTACAATTTTACATTTCTCATATTAGTTAATTGCTACATATCTCATTAAAGTAAAAAAAACTAGTTAATTTTTACATTTCTCATATTAGTTAATTGCTACATATCTCATTAAAATAACAAAACTAGTTAATTTTTACATTTCTCATATTAGTTAAGTGCTAATATTTGTTCAATTTTAAATATGGAGCGAGGTAGACATTCTGTAGATGTGGGTAATCTCCAACGCAACCGCAAGAGGGAGATTGCATCGACTCGATCTACTTCACGCAAAGGCAAAGGTAAAGCGCGGGCCGAGTCTTCTTTTCAAAGTCGAGATGATTTTGAAACGGATTACCAACGGCGAGATGGTATGATGATGTCCGACGAGGAACTACAACACCTATTGTCCCAAAATGATCCACGTTTTGCACAAGAACAACAATTCCCGACAACCATCGATGAAGAGGAGCTCGAGGATGACGATGGGGAGGAGGACGCGGGGGGCGACGGGACTCCGGATGATGAGGAAGAGGACGAGGGCCCTTCAACGACTACAACCAAAATTGGTAAGAAATCTAAATCTGCTATTATTGAAAACAATTTTACAAAAAGGAAAGACGAAAAAACCGAAAAATGGTACGCAAGTTGCAATCATTGCAAGAAAGAGTTTAGCTTGGGAATTTCTGGCGGATACGGGAGTCTCAAAAGACATCTTCAGTCCACCCACGTTGTGGAGTATGCGAAAATAGACAAAGGAAAGGGGAAGCAAACACAAATATCAAGGTTTGCAAATTCTCAACCCTTTGGTAATTTTTTCTATGATGATAAAAAACATTTGACTGGTATGTCTCATTTAATTGTTGAAGAAAATTTACCCTTTATTTTTTCCGAAAGTCTTGCTTTAAGAGATTATGCTCAAGGTACTTTAAATCCTCAATTTAGAAATTATAGTCGCAAAACGATTAAAAAAGAAGTTATAAGGCAATATAACTTGGAAAAAGAAAAATTACAAATATTTTTCGCAAACTTTGATGGACGTGTTAGTATTTGTAGCGATATATGGGAGGATACTTATCATCATTTATATTATTTGGGTCTAACTGCACATTATATTGATGATGATTGGAATATGCATAAACGTGTTCTTGCTTTTCGTGAATTCAATGATCGTCACACTGCTGATAATATTTATATTCTCATTGAACGTATTTTAATTGAGTATAATTTGATTGATAAGGTGTTTGCTGTAGGTTTTGATAATGCTAGTAATAATACTGCTGCTATACCTAGATTACGTGAATTGTGTGGTGCTTCTACATTGATGGGTAGATTTTTTCATCAACGTTGTGCATGTCATATTCTAAATTTGTGTGTACAAGATGGCTTAGCGGCATTAGGAAATGCTTTGGAGGTAGTGAAGGGGGGAATTAAATTGATTTGGGCTAACACTCCACTAAAAATGCAATGGCGGCAATATTTGAAGGATAGACGCGTGAATTATTGTGCTTTTCCTAAAGATTTGTCTATTCGTTGGAAAAGTACTTATAATTTAATTCAAGTACTTGTTAGATATAAAGATCATTTTCCAGCTTTTTTAAGACAAACTTGTAACTATATTATAAACCCGGCTGACATCGACACTTGTGAAAAAATTGTTAATGTTTTGGCATATTTTAATAACGCAACTCTAACTTTTAGTCATGTTTATAAACCTACCGCAAACGAATTTTTTGTTGAAGCTGTTAATCTCGCCGGCGCATTTTGTGAATTTTCCGACGCCGCTTACGTTAGTTATTTTTGTGATTTCATGAAACAAAAGTTTTTAAAATATTATTCACATATTCCGCATATATATGGTATTGCATTTGTTCTTGATCCTCGTTATAAACTTCCTTACTTGGCAAATTGTATAGATTACTATTATGCTTCTTTTTTTCCAACTCAAGAGTTCGATGATAATCCCATCGACCCTAAACAAGAATTCAACGAGGTTAGTAATTTATTTCATCAATTGTATAATGAATTTCATGCACAATATGGTAATGCACCCCCTCCCATGCAACGAACATCTTCTTCATCTAAAGGAAAATCACTTTTAAAATCCGCTTTTGGTTCTCTTTTGAAAAAAAGTAGAGCAACTCCCGCTACTGAACAAAGCTCAGGTAACGAGCTTTCTTTGTATCTAACATTGAATGTTGATTATGAAGTTGGTGATGACTTTGACGTTCTTAAGTGGTGGAAGGAAAATGAAAGACCATTCCCGATTTTATCAAAGATGGCTAAGCAAGTACTAGCAATGCCGATATCAACCGTTGCCGTGGAACAAGAATTCAGTGCGGCCGGCAACGTCCTAACCGATTTTAGAACGAGGTTGAGCCCGAGCTCTCTTGAGACACTAGTTTGCTTTCACGATTGGTTGAAGGCCCAACGAAGAACTCAAGAAATTACCATCACTCCCTCCCGCCACTTTATGGAGGAAACAACCGAAGGCGGAGAGTCCGATTGATTTTTTATTACAAAATGTATTACATTTTTTAAATTCATCCTAATTCTCAATTGTACTTCTTATTTGAAATAAATATACTTCAATTCGAATATAATATATTGTAATTGTAATAAGATTTATTCTAATTATATAATAATTAAAAAAAAAAATTAAATAGGCCCGGCCCGGCCCACCGGGCGGCCCGGCCCGTGAACCGAGCGGGTGACCCGAACCGAACCGGACCCGGGGTTATCCGGGCCGGTTCCGGGCCTGCCTTCCTAGAACCGAGGCCCGGACGGGCCCAGGCCCGAACCGGGCCCGAACCGGGCCCGAACCGGCCCGAGTCCATTCCTACTCTCTAATCTCTATTCTCTACTAATCTTCTCCATCTTCATCTTCTCAAATTTATAACTACATATATTATATTTACATATATAATCATCTCTAATTTATTTACTTATATTTACATTTTAGATATACTTAATATATACTTATATATATTAAAGTATTATATATAAGTGTCTTACTAATCTTATAGTAATATACTTATATTATATATACTATAAACATAATATTATATATTACTAGTTAATCTACTTATTATCTACTTATATATATATATATATATATATATATATATATATATATATATATATATATATATATATATATATATATATATATATAAGTAGATAATAAGTAGATTAACTAGTAATATATAATATTATGTTTATAGTATAGGGCAGTGATCACATAAAAATCATGCTTCCCGTACAAAATGCAAACTCATCTTGTACGTTGAAATTGGGCAAATCAATGGCTATCCATCTATTAACCACCGTAGCATTCAATGAGGTGAAATGCAGGGAACTAAAAACGGTTGGATAATTGAGATGCACGATTA